TTGTTTTATGATGATACAATATAAGGGTTTCTTATCGTCAAAACTGTTCCATACCACCAGTAGTACAGCCTGATACTGGTAGTACAATATAAGGGTTTCTTATCTTCAAAACCCTTCCATACCACCAGTAGTACAGCCTGATACTGGTAGTACAATTTGAGGGTTTCTTATCTTCAAAACCCTTCCATACCACCAGTAGTACAACATGATACTTGTAGTACAATATGAGAGTTTCTTATCTTCAAAACCCTTCCATACCACCAGTAGTACAACATGATACTTGTAGTACAATATGAGAGTTTCTTATCTTCAAAACCCTTTCATACCACCAGTAGTACAACATGATACTTGTAGTACAATATGAGAGTTTCTTATCTTCAAAACCCTTTCATACCACCAGTAGTACAACATGATACTGGTAGTACAATATGAGGGTGGTACTACTCTGGAAAAATGAAAATCCAAGTAACTTTGTGTTATCTACTTTATGTTTAGCAACAACGTTGAAGCAGAATTAGTGAGAGTATAAGAATTTACTCGTGGATACTGAAGTAGACCAGCTGAAGCTGGAATTGGATCTATATGGACCAGCTGTAGCAAATTTTTTTTTTTAAGAACGTAGTTGTGTGAGCCAGTCACAGAATGCGCTAGCGTAACGACCAAAACTCAATTTTCTACCTAATATTTTGTTGTTGGCAAATTTGAGGATTCATAACAGACTAGTGGTCCTGTTGCTCGAATTCGAGCAATTTCTAAGTATTACAGGCGTTATTTTAAAACGAATAACAGTCATTATTTCTGATGACTTTAAAAGATTCGACTCAAAGCTTATGGAAATACTCAAGATGTACATAACAGATTATATCAAATTATCCAGACTCTCTAGCTTTTTCCATTGTAATATTTACGCCAACCCACATTCAAATAGTAAGTATTTCATGTCAACCAAGTCAGTAAATGTTTGTAGTAAACTGTTAAATTTTCAAACTTATTGACTGTTTACAATTAACATACGTTCTTCTTCTCACTTTTAATTTCTGACAACAGCTGGAACAATTCATAACAATTTTTGTTTCCCATGTTAATCTTATGGATAAATACGAAACTTTAAAGGGCCCCAGGGCCTCACTCTCTAATTACTTCCCTAAAAAGAAAGTTTCCTGTACAACTTCACCTTACGCTCTTTCCAATGACCCCAAAAACATGTCAATCGGTTTAGTAGTTTCGTAGGAGTAATTGTCACAAAAATCCTGCTTGCGTATTAAATAAGTATAGATGCTAAAGCTCACAATAAGTCATTCCATTAGTTTGAGTTGGTAAAAAAGATTGTGTATTCAACAGAAATCAGTAATAGTTTAGACCTGCACAATAGGGTGGCTCATATCAACTACGACGATTTTGGTTTAAAAACTGACAACAAATTTAACATGGGGATGGAATGTCTAAAGCTAAATTTGAAGTTGATAACATGTTAACCCACTTGTTTCGTTAAGATGCGAGTATTATATTGTACTAGTGGCTTGTAGGGACATAAGTCCCTAAAAAGCTGAAATGTAAAACAACATATTGCAATTCCGGTATTTAAACAAACTCAGAATAACATTATCTATGTGTCAGAATAGGCATCCCTTCACCATATCTTTTGTGTAAAAACCAGTTTGTTGTTCTTCTTTGTTTGCTTTTGTTGATGTCATTTTCAATAAATAATTTGAATCACTCCAGTGGTTTAACATGAAAAGGCAGCAAACATATCATTGTTTGTGAATAAATACTGGTTTAATAAGGTAGCTTTGGTCTTGTGGTTAATGAGGCTAAATAAAAGCTTCCCTGTTTGGAATTTTAAAAATTAATTGAAGGTTCGCCTTCAGATGAATTGAAGACGCCTGCAATTTCATCTGCAGTAGGCTTATTATACCTACGACGATCCATATTTATCCTGTCTACAGGTTTTAAGTCACTATTTTCTCGACGCCTTTGACGAATTTCTGTTGCTGTTGATGTGTCAATAATGTACAATTGGCCATACACGGGGTCTTCATCATGTTGAGGCAGCAAATCTGAGATTGAACGATAAATCTGTCCTTGAATTTTGAAACAGTATGGTCCTTTTCCTGGAATATCTTTCTTACTGGCTGAAAAATAAGCAAAAGCCATCGCACTGTTGTATTGTCGAATGAATTTATACAGTTGTGGGCTCTCTTAAAACAAATTTTTAAGTTCTACATTAGTTTTTGGCTGAGGAAGGTTAATAAGTCCGTTATGGCAACATGTCATAAAATGATTATTCGTTAGTTCTTCTCTAAAATGAAGAGCACTACATTGAATGCACTCTTGGTCCAGTAATCCTGCATCATGGATATTTACATTTCTCTCGTCTACCATGGGTCTCCTAAAAAGGGGTTGTAACATATCTTGATTAAGTTCGTCATTATCTACTCTTGCTCTTCTACGCGCACTGTCATTCCTATGAACAGCTCCCCGCCTTTGTGGTCTTCCCCTGGCGTTCATATTAATTACAGTACTTATAATGAAAAGAATATATATCCAGCAGCCTACATACCAAAACATCTTGAATCCCTGGTGATTTTATAAAAGTATGATCGAATATGATTACTCTACGTTGTATATTCACTGCACTAAAAAAATATTTACTTACGAAGGAATGCAAATACACCATTTTAGAACCAATAACATTTGTAGGTTATTTTAGTCGTATATATTAACACATCCTTAACCTTAAAATGTGTAGAAATATAAAGAAAACAACATCATTAAAAAAACTTGAACATATGATTTAAAAATAAAAACAAAACAGAAGTTAGATTTAATTTCGACTCTTTGATTATTTATACAGATATATATTTATTCTATGTCGTTTATTCCTTTAACACGACAATAACGTAAAGCATGAAAAAATGAAACTTGAGTATATGATTTAAATATAAACAAAGAATGCAGAAGTTTTTCCGATTAATCTTCAAGATTTCAGTTTTATTATAGTATACATTTCATAGTTGACTGGCTAAAAGTAAACCAAATGCGTGTATTGATCACTGTTTTCAAAATATAGCACGATCAGCTGTATTGAAGTAAACAGAAATCAGCAGTAAATGACTTCTGTTTTAATTTCAAAAGATATAAACAAATTAAACCCCATGTTGTTTTAATGGGAAGAGTTGTATTCTGTTGCGAATTTATGGTAAAAAAATAAGAAAAATGAATAGTTTTCCCTCAAAATTCACGTCAAGACCTTTAAAATAAGACCTCTCCCATCCTTCTACGGCCATCCAGTCACTCACAATTTCTTTACAAAAATTTGACTTACTGAATTATATATATAGATTCCAGCATATATTCCCTGGCGTAAAAGTGCAGTAACATTCAAGGTGAAGAGGCTATGCTAAACGCGGGAATGATAGCGCAGTTTTGGCGGGAGATGTGGGAGGGTTGCTGATAATGAGACCCGCTCTAACCTTACGTCTTTACAGCCACATGAAACACAGACTGAGGCCGCATAACCCGGGACATAACCTTGCCTGGTTTACTGCTTATATCCCGCCTCTGTCAACCGTAATGGGAGAGATGTAAAAATATATTAAAGATTTTCAAATTGAGGAGTTTCCATTGGAGTTAGCCTTTTAGATACTACATTAGATTCAAATCGATAGCCTAATCATTTGTTGTTTCCCACTGAGCAATACATAATTAGTTTATATCTCCCTGATAAACCATGATCACAAGTTGCCTTTTCACATAGCAGTAATCGATGCAAGTTTTTACAACGTTATTATTCTATTGAATTGCCTTATAAGAGAACGGCCCAAACGCTGGTCTTGTCACGATTTAACAGCGAAATTGTACAAGTTTCATTACGTTGGTTATGAATTTATTAGACAGTTTATGAGATTTGACAGGTTTCACGTTAAAAGTAATAACGGGTTTTTACCTTGAGTTGTCAAATGTAATTTTCCTGTAATTGTAATTTTCTGCAATTTCCAGCGTCTTTGATGGATATACCTCCTGTAGTCTTTTCCACAGAAAGTTGAGGTAGTATGTAGAACAAATGCCCAACATCTCAATTTTACCTAATTAGCCCTGCTCAAAGTTATTGTGAAGATCTGGAGGTTGATGCAGAATGCTGATTAGTCTACCTAAAGATAACTATGGAATATCGACCTTGTCGCAGCCAAAGGTGTTAATGTGGATCAAGTATTCATACCTGCTGCAAACTCAACACCCTCTTTTGCTATTGTAGTAATAATAATTTTACCTATCACTACTCCGTCCCTGCTAAATCCATCACCTCCCCAATCATCCCTCCGGGTGTCCAGTAGATAATCCCTGTTTGATTCACCTGTCTGTCAGTTACCGTAGTGTACTCTGACACCCAGGTGCTCCTTGCCTCCTACTGTATAATCAAATCACACACTCCAGCGAGTCTTAAACAATATGTGTTGTGGTTCTACATGTTCCCCTCCACAGTTCTCCTCACTCTATAGGTTCGCGCTTTAATGTAATTACCATTATTGATTTCAGACTCAGTTACAAATTTACCACTGAGTAAGCGTGTATAAGGTTCTTAGAACCTCTATTATTTTTGCAACAAAAACTGTTATCGCTATGATTCCACATAAATAATTTCAACATGAAGATGCACTTGTTTTACCTCTGTAATTTAAAAATGTTAAACAAATTAACACTACTTCGAATTTACACATTTTTTTAGTTTGAAAAGGGTTTCGTATGTTTCAATCACAGCTATAAATCATAAGTTTCATTGAAGATTTCATTAACAATTGATCAAATGCACAAAAATCTACGATTTAGGTAAATTTGAAACTTTTATTACGCATATAATTCATCTCCTCGGCTAGGTTAATCTTTCTGCCCATGCTTGCAAACCCTGGACAAAATAAAAACTCGCAACCCGCCATACCACTGGTGGTATGGGACGGGTTTGACACTCTGCAACCCCAGTATCGTGCGGTACCATTGGTGATATGAGACAGGTTAGAAGCTCTGCAACCCTAGTATTGTGCGGTACCACTGGTGGTATGGGACTGGTTAGAAGCTCTGCAACCCCAGTATCGTGCGGTACCACTGGTGGTATGGGACTGGTTAGAAGCTCTGCAACCCCAGTATCGTGCGGTACCACTGGTGGTATGGGACAGGTTAGAAGCTCTGCAACCCTAGTATTGTGCGGTACCACTGGTGGTATGGGACAGGTTAGAAGCTCTGCAACCCCAGTATCGTGCGGTACCACTGGTGGTATGGGACTGGTTAGAAGCTCTGCAACCCCAGTATCGTGCGGTACCACTGGTGGTATGGGACAGGTTAGAAGCTCTGCAACCCTAGTATTGTGCGGTACCACTGGTGGTATGGGACTGGTTAGAAGCTCTGCAACCCCAGTATCGTGCGGTACCATTGGTGATATGAGACAGGTTAGAAGCTCTGCAACCCTAGTATTGTGCGGTACCACTGGTGGTATGGGACTGGTTTGACGCTCTGCAAACTCAGTATAGTGCTGCACAACTGGTGGTATGGGACGGGTTTGACACTTTGCAACCCCAGTATCGTGCTAAACCAGTACGGGATGGGTTTGAAGCACAGCAAGATTTCAAAGCAATATCACTGTCCGTGTAGCACGACCGACAATCAAAGATGGCGCGGTGTCGCTACTAAACAAACCCCGGCCTTTGTAAATAAATCGCAAAAACATTCATTAGAGCAGAGCCTTTGTGTGCAGTACACGGACAATATGACGGCGTTGACAACGCTGTACGTGGAACTGTGACGTCAACTGTGCGAGCTTTAACTCAAACATTTGCTAATAAGTCGTTATTAATTTATGTTTTATGCAACATTTAATTATTATTAATTAATATCTTTCAACGATGTTTCTGTAATTTGATACATAAGAAGATAAAAAGAGGGTCTTGGTTTTGATAACCGTCGTTTCTGTTAGGTCTCAATTTAAACATGTTTTCAAACTGCTTATTCTTGAATTGTCAATATATAGAATAAGATACTACTGTAGGTGTCATGGCTAAACCTAAACCCGGGACCAATTTTTTCGTCCCCATAGGCCAAAGACGTCATGTTTATATCAATTTAATTCAGAAGTAATCAACCATCCGAGTTAGATTACAATTGGTACAAACGTGTAAACCTGCTATTATTTGAAAAACTTTTAGATTGACTACCTATGCAAATATGTATGAGTTAAATAAACAATATTTTTCGTTCAGCTAAAGTTTATTCAGTAAATATTTGTTTAGAGGTAATGTTTGAAACACGGAATCCTAGTATGTAAAATTAAGTACTGTAAAACTATTTAGTTACAAAATATAGTCATAGTGGGGTTAGTTGGGTTTAGTCATATAGTCACAATGCACCTCATGTTAACCCCGTTGGCCTCTACATCTCAATCCTACAGAGGTCATTGACGAGCAGCTCCGAGTTTTAATAAAACTCTTGTCTGTTTGGGGCTGATAGATGACTGGGCCTCAGTCAGATATTAAACAGAGGGTGGAAGTCGCCTCCCTCTACTCCGCTCTGGTTTACTGGGTAGATTCAATATGTACGGAGAGAAATATACTGCTGTATGCATACACTCCATTGAAACTTTGATTATAGAATATTGCTTTACATATGAAAACCTGTACCATAATGTGTTTAGAGAAAATTAAATAATTTACTAAAATATTTATTAGTGGTGTTAACTAGCTTGAATTCATCCAACCACAAGCAATTTATAATCATTTAGGTTCTTGTATTTTGGTAACAACTTATATCCAGCAAATATATAAGCTGAAGGCTTGCATTTCTATAGTTTAAATGTGCGTCTTATGATTACAGGTTATGGGTAATATGACATGGTCGTGGCTATAAAAACAGATGGGCTTGGTAGAACAGCTGATCAAGACGTTTAACTTAATTCACACGCAAAATTCTCTCAGGAAATCAAAATGGACACACACAAACACTATGTAGCTGTTTTACTCTAAGGAAAAAAGTGTCACCTTAATCCACTTCAGTAAGAAATAGAAATAATAAAAAAAAACTAAAATCTTAGAATTCTAAGGAAAACTTTAACAATATAAACTAAAAGTAAGGTAGCCTAATCTGAAAACCAACAGAAGGATTTAAAACTCTTAAATTAATTTTGAACTGAATTTATACATCGTACTTTTACTCCGGATTCTTCAAACTACAAAATACTTCTGAGGGAAGAAATTTTTTAAATAACAATGCTTCAATAATCCCCAAAACGAAGCTCTTCATTTACCAAAATACCCAAACTTCCTCAATTTCCACACTTAAACCAAAACAGTAACACAATTCAATAAAACTTACCCAATAACAAGTTTCATCTATTTCTCACAATAAATCCTTCAGGTAGAATCTTCTTAATAACTGAGTCTTGAATAGAGGCAGTATCACAAGGGGGGGTTTAATAAGTGCAACAATGGGCGCGTCGCTCCACGGTGGTCCCGCTTTGTAGCCGTGTATTGATGCACACGGGATTAGCCGATATTTAAATCGTCCCCCGGGCGTATTAAGATCAGATTCACTTAGCTGTTTGGCCGTCGTCGGGTCACGTGACCGCCACCTGTCAGCTGATCTGGTCACGTGAACCATCAGCTGATACTGTGACGTAATTGTTCGGAGCAAAGTGGTTGTGAGAGACTGAAAAAGTATTGTTGGGAACGTTGATTGAAGGTGTGATAGGAATTTAGTTTTGTGTTGTTGGATTTGACAATGGTTCGGGGGTTTCAATACTTTTGTTCTTGAATAGGGTATAAGTATGAAGAATATTTGGTTGGAGTTTTGGAAGTATGACTAAATAAAAACTAGGTTAGGAAAATTGACTAGGAATTGACTAGGTTTTTTGCATGCTGGAATCTACTCCATAATACCTATTGCTTTATCTTCCTATACAAGTCAACTCCAAACAACAATATACAACCCCAACAACAAATAATTATTTTTGTAACTAGCTTTACACTCGCGTTACACATTATATTTTGATATTGAAATAATATTAAAAAAATTATAAAAACTAAATACAGTGGATGGTAAGGTTATTTTTAAGTTTTACCAAGAGTTTCAAACTAATGAATTCATTATAGTAAAAAAATTACAGATCGTACAGCATAACATCATTGAATGCTGCATAAAACGTGGTTTAAAATTGCACTGGTATTTTTATAATTCAAACATGTTTGGCTATAATACATTTTAAATAAGCCTTTGTGTTAATCTGTTAGCAGTTTGTGTCCAAATAACTAACATTCTTTGCTATCCCTTACCGTCAAAAATTTAATTTAATTATTTAAAAAGTTTGGTGTTGTAGTATTGGATAATAAATGAGTTCGGGATTTTCATTTATTTTGTATTATTAATTATTTTATTTTTATTTTATTGATTAAGTAAGTTTACTAGGGGCATTTGAACATGTTGAAATCTACTTCTCAATTCATTTTTCAGCTTATGGATTATAATTTATTTATCTCTAAATTAAATTTAAATTTCTTCAAACTTATTTTTGATAAAGTACTCCGAGTACTTTAACTGGTAAAATTTACATATATGTTTTTTTTCTGGCTGTACAACATTTAAATAACCATCTGTATTAATTAATTTGCTCTTTGAGTCCAAATAACTAACATTCATTGCATTATTGAAACAAGTGTGGGATTTTTACTGTTCAGATAATAAAATTGCCTGAAGTACAACAAATACGTCTAATAACACTTATAATAACACATTTACACAATCGAAATCGATCACCACTTACCATCTTTTATATGTATTGTGAGTAAACAGTATAAGTGTAAATATATTATTTCAGGCGTTATTTGTCGCATTCTTCGTGCTTTCAGATAATTTAATAACACGTATCATGCTAATCAAGAAGTTATTTAATCAAATTGTTACTGATAATGTTATTGCTTCGCATACTGATTTATTTAAATTTTAGTAATAAATATAGATTGCATAGTGTCCCTACGACAAAAAGACTTTCTTACACACCAAACAAAAGAATAGATCCGAGATATAGTCTTTAAATCACAAGATCATCAATTTATGGACGAAATTGGCCGATTTTGAACAAAGTTTACCGTGTCGTCAAACTTCTCTTTGATGCATTGCAACAATCCATATTCTGTGTGAGATACAATTCAACAAATATTACGTCTTCTGCTATCGTTCTAGTATTGCTGTCTTTGTATTTTTTATTGGGAACTCAATGATTTTACCTTGATTATTTTGAACCCCACTTTTTGCTTTCAACCCTAATTAGATAAACAAAATTAACTGTAAAACTAAATTACAATATCAACATTTCATATGTAACTTTCTTACTTAAGCTCAACCAATACACTGAGAACCCTCCTAACTCTTGTATTGTATCCATACTTGTCATCTTCACAGTGTTTGACTCGGCCCAGATATAACTCCGCCACATATTGCCTCGTCCAATATGAGCTTGTTCGCTCCAGGGTCATTGTTCACATATCTCTACTGGATATTGGACTCTTGGACGTTCATGTGTCAAATCCTTTAAGGACCGAAGCAAAGAATACATTGTGAGAAGAGAAGACGTGGTTATCTTAGTTTGACTTCAGTGGGGAGAGAAGGGAGATAGATGATAACATATATAACACACCCGCCGCAACAAAACCTGCCGAAAAAGCGAATTTCCATTCGTCTGAATGTATTTTAAATTAAATCAATTTAAATATCACTAGGTTTAACAAGTACTTAGGTTTGCTGCTACAAGGAAACTAATAAAGTGCGCTTTTTAGTAAAATATTAATTGCTTAGTATATTTTAAATTTCCAATTTTTTAAATTTTCTCCTTTACCAATAATCGTACAAAACACTTTTATATGCTAAATTGTATTTTTAAAGCTCTTTAAGTCTAGAGAGAAATCGGGAAATTTTGTGTTTTGAGGGTAAAAATGAGAAAAAAACCAATTTTTACCCCCATAACCCCCCCCCCCGTAAAACCTTGTTCCCATGCTCCGATCATGCTGGTTCGCGAACTCATTCAAGCCTTACACCTTTAGACCGAATTTCATCAAAATCGTATTTACTTACACACACATATTTCACACATTTTTCTATACATATATAACATTTTTACAAATTGTGCTTTTGGCCTCTGGGGACATCAAAATGAAAAAGTAAAACGGTCCCGTGCCTAGGTCTTACGATGCTACCTACTGTAATAGCTACTTCCCTATAAGGAAATTCGTTAAATCACTGTGTAAAAAAAAGACTGAATGAGGGCATCAGCACTAAATTAGATAAGTGGTTATTTTGATACGAACGATGTAGCCGTTTATGGTTATTTCACTTAAAAACTCGCAACATTTTCACTTCCAGCAGCAAAACTTCTCTAACTCTCAAGGATCACAGTTTGTAGTGTGATCACTAAACCCGCGCTATTTTATATACTTTCCCGCCAATTTCACAGCCCAAAGCACAACGT